AATGGTAAGCCACCACCGTCAACTGCCGCATGGTATTACCATCACGAATACGTGAGTCGCCAATGGCATCTAGTAGATGGCACAGCCATCGCCTGTGCGCAAGCCCCTACCAGAAATTCGTTGCGCCGCCCTTGGGGGCAAAAAACGGTGAAAGCTTACGTACGAAACCAGAGGGCAGCACACGATGTGTTCGCGCGACCCTGCCCGTGAGCAATCTCCCAACTCATCTCCGCTATACAAAGGAAATTGATTAATTGTAAAGAAATCGCTATAATTTAACAGTCTATTAAAGTGATTAACGATTTGCTATAGTTAAATGTATTCTAGAAGAGATTAAAATGAAAAAAAAAAGACATTAATGGAATTATTGGAGCACCACTTGGCGGCAAAAGATCGCTAGTAGGTGCGCGCGCATGCGCGGACTTCCAGCTTCCAGAAAATTTAAACCAGGAAATCAATATGGCGGCAGCCAGCGATCGAGGGAACGAGCACCTCCCAATTTTCGAAATCTCTCGAATGTTTTCAAAAATTCACTGAGGGGGTCCTTGCCTATCAATGCCTCGGAACGGTAGGGTTATTTTCTACTTCGTTTCCCTACCTATCTCTCACAACATTGTAGTAATCCGTGCGCATGATCTTATTCACTTATCCACTTATCCACTTGAAGAGGCTAATAATAAAATTTCTACAAGTACGACTCACGTTAACGCAATATTATATGCCTTTTTCAAAGGGGATATAACGATTTTTCAAGTTGTACCGCTGTTAAAACGAACCGCTGCAAAAGGTGAAGGAGCAACACGATAACCTAACGAGATTCCTTGGTTCCTGGATTTCCTAATTTGGTAGCGGCTGATAACTGCATCAACACATCCACACGGTCTTTGTAGACTCACGGTATGTCTTCATTGTCAATTATGACAGTGTACTAGTAGAGCACTCGTGTGAAATTTATACAAGTGTATAATTTGCCTTTAATCCGATGACGTTGATTTTTAAGTTATTTATTTAGGAAATGAGGTATCGGAATTCTCTACAGAGTTGTCTCGGCGTGTTTCAGTATTCATCGTCAGATGTGTAAAGCACGGATATGTCTTCTCAAGAAGAATCAACCGGTTGCAAAACTTTGTTTAATGCCTTACGTCTGGAAAACATTGTACAATCTGATATTTCTGAAAAACTGGTAAGTGGTCAGTAGTTATCAATGGTGTAACTGGACAAAAACAGTCTTAAAGTATTATTATATATTACATGGACTTGGATTTTACTTAAGCAAGTTTGTTTCTAAAAGAATTGGGTCTGTAATTTAATTTCTACATACTGCTGATACTTAGTTTTTTAATCTAAATCAGTGTTTTTATAGAATCAACATTTTTAAGCATATTTCTTTTACATATTTATAAAAGTTTAATCATCTTCTTAGCGTTTTTTAATTCATTATACAAGGTTAATTACAATTTGTAGGAGGAAAATCTTGAAATCATTACGACACTGCCGGAAGAAGAACTATGTGATCTTTGGCATCACATAAAATGTGTAATAGTTAATGCGCAAAAATTAATAAGAAATGGCCAAACTTGTACAGTCCAAAATGGGTCAGATGTACAGGCAAGTATTTGCAATAATATTTATAATTTTCAGCATACAAATAATTTACAAGTTGTGTGCAAATTAAAATTAGAAAGAAATATTTTTGTTACAGAATTCTTCTGCACAAACGACCATTATAAGTTTAACGGTTAAAATAGCTCTTAAAACCATAATGACAAGAACATTTGTTCCACAAGTTCTGTTAGATGTTGTCTTCATCCTGCACTCTCTGGTTTTACCAAAGCTGAATGAAAAACAGGTTTATTATAATTCATAAATCTACATATGAAATATACTATTAATTCGTTGTCATTATTATACATATATTTTAGGTGAGAGATGATATATCATGTCTTTTGGAAAATTGGTGGAAACTAAATTTAGACTCAAGACAAAAAGTAATAAGAAATTCCTTAAAATATTTGATCGAGAGAGCAAAAACTTCACTGGTAAATAATGAATACATACATAATAAACTAAATAAGGCCAGAAAAGTTATATATGATATTTCTAGGAGCATGTAAAACGTTTATACGATATTAAATCTGCCATGCCCTTATTGAAATATAACGAGGATGTTGACGCCCTTTTGAGCCTGTCGATAGAACAAAATTTCATAACTACAAAAGAAGGCAGAACTTTACTCCTCTGTATATTCTCGCTTAATAAGCAGTGGATAAAGGTAAATATCTACAATTTTTATTTATATTTATACTAACGAATAGTACTTTCTTTAAAATATACGAAAATACAAATATATTGCCTATTATTTTTAGGGAATTCATAAAAAAGTAAAACAGGTGTTGGAAAGTATAGAATTCAAAAATGTTGATACGTACGCAGAGTTATACACTTCAGCTTGGTTAAATGCATGCAACGAAAACAGGAAAGTGATTGCAGAGGAATGTATAAGAAATCTGATTTTTCATTGCCTTACAGCAGGTAGAGTTTCTGAGAAACGCATACATTTTAAAAATAATTTAATTAAATTCTTGAGATATTTTCATAAGCATCCGAGCATTAAAGTTCAAAGAATGATTTATGAACAATATCACCCAATTCTTTGGGCCCATTTAAAGGTAATTAACTGAAATGGTTCAATATTAAAACTGTGTGGTATACGATATGATTTTTTATACGTAGGCTCCTGGCTATTTTACTAGGTGTAACGCAGCAGATGTACTCTTCGCGGCTTATCCAATTGAACAACCAAATGGACAAAAGAAAGGTTCTGGTGCTAACAGACAATACGAGGCAATGACTGCTTTACTAAAAGATGGCAATCATGAAGTCTGTGTTGTCGCTATGAAAGTATGTATAAATATTCTTAATATAAATGCTTAGAATACAAAATTCTAGTATCGATAAAAGAGAAAGAGCCAATTGAACAAGTACAATTCTTTTTTTTTAGGGTATTTTTAATATATTGCAGAGTTACTGGTCTGAAGTACCAAGTTCATTTACAGAAGAATGGCTTAATCTCTCTTTAAATTATACAAAAGAATCAGTCTATCCGGAAATAAGAATGTGTATATTTCAAGGGCTCAAATCAGTCCTGTCTAATTCTCAATCTCTAACGGTACTAAAGAATGTATTACCTAATTTTATTGAAAGCATTCATGATACGGATACTAATGTTAAAATGGCAGTGTTAGAATTACTTCTAGATGTCCGAGATAAAAGCGAAATACATCTTTACGATATTGCCCCACTCTCCTACATTCTGGAATGTCTAGAGGTAAATGCAATTTTTTATATCCAAATCTTACCCAAAATTTGAAATAGTAACATTATTTCTTTTACCTGCAGATTGAGACTAATATTATTACAGCAAAATTAATTGTAAAACTCTTATGGCCATGCGTTTTTTCCAACAATAACGCATCCAGCATGTTAGAGGGAATTATCTGCATGGCGTTGAAAAATGTAAACGCAGTGAGAAAATTTTTCCTGTACTCAAATCACACAATTGACTACAACACATCTTTGCGTCTCATTGAAGAAATACTGCGAGAAATCAAAGGAAGTGTGCAAGAGTTTTCGATGACTAAAGAACCTATGCATAAATCTATCAAAGTTAACGGAGGAAATGGTCTGAGAAAGATCTCACATTCTGAAGGTTATATGATTACCAACAGTTGTTCAATCTTCAAACCATTTTTAATTTCCTGAATGTAAAAAACATTACTTCGATTTCAGGGCGAGGTAAACGCACATCTAAACTAGCTCACCTAAAAGATCCGTTGGTTATACAAGCTCTATTCGATGTTGGTGCCATACTTTGGACAATAAGCAGCGAAGAATTTACCAAAGAGAATCACAAGGACGAAGTTGAAAATTTGAGACTGATCGTTGCAAATGAACTACCCCATTTTTTCAATCTCTTTAAGGTAACTTATATATTTTATCAGATTGTGCATAACTCTAACATTATATATTCCGACGTTATACATTTTCAGGGCACACCGATTTGTGAATCCGTATTGTTTTTATTTACATTACTTCCGGAATCGATGATATCATCGGATTCCACAATATTTTCGGACATTTGCGTTCAGGAGTTAAACGACCCCGACGTATCCGACGATACGATTTTGACAATCGTATATTTGCTTGTTAAATGGAACAAAGTTAACACAATTTTACTGTTGTTGAAGAAACTTTTAACCGCTGCCACTGATCACGAACAGAGAACCAGTTCCGTACGTATATATTTAATCAATTAATTAGTGAATAGCGGGGACCATAAAATAAAATTGTGTTTATATTTCCTACACTTGCTAACATAAATTTAGTGTGACATTCGGATGTATTTAAATTCTAATTTAATTTCTAGAGGAAACGATTGAAGTTGCAGACGTCTATGGTCAAAAGGAATACGATGGAACTGGGTCTACGTATTCTCGATCACTTGTTGTACGATGAATTTCAATCCGTTTTAATGAACGACCATCACGAGAGCATGATAAAGTTCCACCAAAGCTTGAGCTTCGTGAAAAGCCTCGTGGAAAGAAAATTGGGAAGTAATTCCTCTCGAGATCCGGTTTACGTGGAGTTCATGGATTCAATTTCGGAGGAAGTACTCGGAAACCTATTTAATCAATACGTTTCCCTAATTTGCATCTTGAATAAGGCTGAGGTATTTAATGCCTCGGAACACTTGACAGACGTCGCGTTATGGGCCCAAACGTAAGTGGGATTTACATAATTTACTATGCGTGTCTCATAAGTATATGTATATAATTTAGCTATATTTTTTAACTACACTTCAAAGATCGTATCTCACCTATACAAGGTTTCACGATTTATGAATCCACTTCTAACTGAAATGATATATTATTCATTCCAAACGCATTTTTGGACAAAACTGTCGAAAACAGGATTGCGTATACAATAATGGAGCTTCGATAAGCTGGTTTACTATTTGCAATCATGAAAGACTAGCTTTGTCTAATTTCCCAGGAAAATAGTGCCACGAATACCGAAACTGCACGAAGAGACGTCGAGTAGATTCTCGATAAATCTGTTGAAAATCATCTTCAACATCGGCAACAGGATGATGTTACGACTGCACGCCACTCCGAAATTATGCTGCGAATTGGTACTCCTGTACAGCAAATGTCTCGTCACGCAAAGCGGCATTGTATTTGTTAACGAGGTTCTCATCACGTTGAAGACGTTGACAAGCTTCGAAGAGAGCGTGTACATGGACGAAGCTTCCATAGTTCTAGGAATGATTATTCCCAGACTTCTTGCCGCGGTAATGATTACGCTGACCAAGCACACCTGGGAAGACACGATTAATTACGCTAACGTAAGTACACGAGGTCTCGCCAGTCATGAGATCGTTTTACGATAACATTCACACATCAGACATTGAAATTTCTTTCAAGAATTTGAAAACGCTACCTGCACTAATTCCTAAATTGTTCGCGGTCCTTGAGTGCTCGCCCGATCAATACAGCCTTCGCATGACCTACATGACGATTTTGTTCAACACGAGCGTGGTAGGAATTAGCAAGGAGATCATTAAGGTACTTCAACGGAACAACGTGGGACGGGTTAATATATTAAACACGACATTTCCATGCATATCCGAGAAAATATTGAGAGTGATCTTGCGAGGAGAGAAGTTGAGAAAGCTCAGCATTAACGTGCTAAACAAAGCGATTCGGCAATACGCTCCAGTAAGTAACCTGTACAGAAAGAATGACTTTTCGGTGCGCAATGACTCGTGGGTTTGCATGGATTACTCGTTCTTCTTTTCTTTTTTCTTTTCTCTCGTTACAGATAGACGTGTTATCTGCTTTATTAATTGTATACAGAATTGTTAAGGTCACGACGAAGGCGTCGTTGAGGAGTCTTAAGAATGTGATGTCCACGGCTGAGTCCAGGAAACTGGACATGCCTTCCTACACGTGCATTCCGAGGTACTTAGTGAATCGCGCAAATGAACCGCTTCATTGATCAAACTCATTGGTAATCATCGGACAAGAGCTGTAAATTGAATTTTTTATTTTTTATTTTTTACACGGATATTTCGGCAAAAATTAGAATCCTTTTAGGACACTTTATTTCTCAGTATGTTTAGACCACTTGTAGAGTCACTTCACCGGTAAAAAGTCGTAATTTCTACTTACGCAATGCAGATACGTATTCGGTTATATAACATTATCGCACATTATCATGTCTCAAAATGTTCACGTGACGTGGAAGTTGCTTGACAAGTGGTACGGTTCTGTAGGTGTTTTGTGCTTTGAATGATACGCCATGTTTATTGAATATCGAAGCCCTACAAGTCTGCTGTCGAAAGCTTGATGCCTCATTTACATACATGCGGAATCAACGCGAAATCAACACGGAGCGCGGATCGTGGAATGGCTTTGAGACGGCTTAACTAATCGGCCTAATGCGTTGATTCCGCGCGTTTTCCGCGCTTATGAAAATGAGGCATAAGGCAGTTAACTGTGTACAGGCGTTGGGCAAACAAAACAATGTGTGTGTGCGGAATTACACCGGGGATAAAATTTGATACAATTCCATTTTTAATAAATAAATGTTTATCCGTTCGTCAAGACATATGACCTGGTGAGTTAAAAAATGATGCGGTTCAGGTAGCGGATAAACTTTAATATGAATTCCCGATAAAGTGTTAATGGCATCGTTTAATTTCAGGATCGACGACATTAAGCAAGAGATAATTGGCGCGATTGCGAGTCACATGTAAATATTAAAATATGTTACGCAGAGATGGTTGTCTGCCAATCAAAGAAAGAGTTTGCGGCCTCTGTACGATAACTAGAAAAAAGGCAGCTTTTATAGTAAGTAGTTACGAGTCAGTGTGATAGATCCTCGTACTTTTGATACATACGTATACACTTCTAATATATTTTAAGTATATTGCTTTTCGACAGCAAAAACGAATTAACCTTCTGTTTTATTTACCAAGACAATCGTCGAACAATTTTGCTCCTCTCTCGTCGAGTTAAGTTGTTCGATATAAGCAGGCTGGGGAGTTAATTTCAAATCGATCTTTGCGTTACTTCATTTCCCATAAGAACCGAGTACATTTAAGGCTGCAAATCTGACTTGAAAAAAAAAAAAAAAAAAATCTACGTCAAGCACTACTCGTAATTATTTCACTGTACATCCATAAATTGGATTCCAAAATTAAACGACGCTTGGCCAGACCAACGGCTCTCGACCCAAGGTGAATGTAAATAACGGTTAGAAAATTATAACACGTTATTTAATCCGCTCCTAGAAGGGTGGCACGAATTTGAGACGATTGATTTCAGCCTTTTCAATACTGTTTGAATTTATTCAGTTTCTGTGTTTCCAATTGGATTACCACGGTTATGAATTCGCAAGGTGGGAACGAATTGGCAATAAACGTTACATGGTACTTTTGCGTTTTTCGTTGTTGTGGGTTTTCTCATTGGCCGCGCTAACTAGCCGGAAGAGGTAATATTTCGCATTTGTCTGACCGCAGCCACAACGCGGGCATTACAGCCCGAGCTCCCACTTTGATAGTCTTCAGGTGACAGTCGTAGTAACGTGGACATTTGCTGTAAGTGATCCGATAGAGAAAGACCGAGCTCTTCTAATACATTTCCGAGATAATCTGCAACACACGTAACAACCAGGTACTGTAGAAAATAGTCGAACATGTGTGTGTGTAGTTCAAACCATTCCCTACACCGAACTGTGCACTATAATCGTCTCTGTCACGTTTTTGTATACCTTAAGAGGATGTGAAAGTGGCATCTGAAAGCTCAAACGTTCATGGAACTTTTCTACGAGCTGGGCGTACCGAATCGTATGAAACTTTACAACGTGAACATTCACAATTGTAAATTTTGAAAGGACTCTATACTCTTAGAACGGAGAATAGTATCATAAAGGAGGCCTCTTTGACTCCACTTTCATATCACGTTAACACAATCCATGCACTGCCACATAGATGCTTCGTTCGTTGACTAAAAATTTCATTAACTGTTCCCGATGAAGAGAGCATTAAAACCTGACTAAATTACCTTAATTCTACTGCAAACTGTGAAACAAAGCTTTACCAGTTACATATGTATAGAATGACCCTTTCATATCACCTGAACAAATTTCAATCAAAATACGTTCTGTTAAGAAAAATGATCAATGATGCCATGATTCGCTGTCAAACAAGTAGTTGCTTCACTTAGACTATATCTGTAGTAATCGTACTCTTTGGTAACTTGCAAATTGCCCAGTACGCTACATGGCTGAGGTTTAAAGAAATTTTAAGTCAATCTTTCAGCTTTAACGGATGTAAAGATTCAATTTATGGTGCGCTGGAGACCTTCAAATGTAAGAAGGTGAAACGGAACGATTCTTAAAGGCCAGTTTCACCTATTATGTTCAACGTTCTTCCCTGCATTCATACCCCTTTGTCGTAAATGCCCATGAATGCCTCCACGTATCTCCAGAGCACCATAATAAATGAACGAACGAAGCATTTCACTCACACCGTGGTCTTTGAAGAACACCGTGTCCAAATTGTCACCCCCAGCACAGATAGTTTAAACGAAACATACCTATATCGACAGCCAGTTGCTTGCAAGCTGGAGAATTCAATTCACATATTCCCAATGTTTGATCTTGAAACATTTGGCATGTACCTTTACCAACGATGCCCAAAAGGATATTGGTAAATCCAGACTCCTTGGAACACTGAGTGTATTGAGGATCGGCAGCTCTCAGAGCTTTCGTCAAGTTTGGATTGTCCCTAAGTAAAAATGGTTCTAAATGTTGAGGCAGCGTCATCAAGTACTGGCCCACTTGGGTGACGTACTCTTGTGGTGCGAAACTGTAATCTGGCAGATCGAAGTTCACATTTCCCATTCTGGTCTTCTCGGAAGACCAAGCCGGTGCCTTCTGAAGAAGAAGCAGTTGAGCAAAGATTGGAGCAAATATCACGTCATAAGTGATTCGATGCAAATCGGAGCTAAGCTTCTGAATACGTTTCAAAACATTATCCAAAACAGTTTTATCGTCTGAAATTAAGAAAGAAATGAATTAACACCAGGCACGATATCTCCTCGCGAGTAAATTTCATTCAAAGATCGTTCTCTATTATGCAGATAATGATCAATTTACCACGTCGAATAGATGTCATTAAATTTTCAAGGTCAGTTTGCCCCGAAGAATTCAAAAGTAATTTCTTGTACTGTTCCATCGCACTTCCACTTGTACTCTGCAATTTGCTGTTAGCGTCCAGTATATCGGTTGTTAATGTTCTTTCGAGTTCTTCGACTTGTCCCAAAAGTTCACCTGCAAAAAATTAGGTTACGTAATACATCATTGGAAATCCGATTAATTTCTTATGGGTCTAGGCAGTACCTATGCTCTGCATTAAATTCATACACATTTGGAAGACATTCCAATCTTCGTGTTTGGACTTTCGTCTCTCCAACTGCTTCATTGCAAGTTTATACTTATCCAAATATTGACCAAGGAACATCTGAAAATTTGATAGGTCGTCAAGAAAGAATTCGTCAAAATTGCATTATTCTGGAGAACAGAACACACATTTAAAGCTTTTATCAACCCAGGATAACCACAACCATCGGTAAACAGCTTGCATCTGTTATTAGCTTCGATGGTGTAATCGATAACCCTAGAAATACTGAGAGAGAGGGAATTGACGGTATCGTTCAGATCATCTTGGATACAATCAAGAGAATTAAGCTGTTGCCCCAGTTGTGCAGTTTCATACGTTCCATACTTTGCAATATATGGCACGTAAGGAGCATAGATGGTTTGGGCCAAGGGTAAAATTCCAGCACTAAGTGTTTTTCCTCGAAGCGATGATTCTATAGCACCATTTAAATTTAGAGCGAAATGTCTAGTGATTTGCTTAAGCTCGAGCAACAGGGACAATTGCATGGCATTCGTGTGTCGCTTTAATGCAACCTCGATGCAATCCAGAATACTCGGATCTAAGCTTTTCAAAAAGTCTATGTAAATTTCCACAATAGTATCGATCGAAACATTTGGAAATACTTGACTGCACCACTTGACCTGAAAAAAAGACAATAAGTCAATGTTTCTTCAAAAGCATCTCAGCCAACGAATGAATTAATTTAGTACCTGATTATGCCATGCTGACAGTAGTTTATCATAAAACGTGCAAAGCCAATAAGTGATATCTTCATCTTGCGAGAGTTCGATAACACGACGCCACTCTTGGCTCAGGGAGACTTTGAGGCAATTATGATAATACTTGACCAATTGTGGCATACGGTCCATCTTACCAAATATAATCACATACATTTTGGATTGTTCTGTACATAAGAAAATAATACCAGGGAAGTTAGTTTGATGGAACAATTTCTTTCGTTAGAAAATGATACGATACGGGTAACTAATATTACCTATATTTGCTGCCGTAAAAGCCTGAACCAGCTGTGGACTAACCAAAGCTTCGAGACGGTTCTTTAAACCCTCTAATTGCAATTTCTTGTCTTCGTAATCAATGGCATTTACGAGCATTGACAGCGACTTCTGCATGCTGTAAAGCTTACTGGCGATCTTTTCGACATCACCAGACTCGAACACCTGGGAGAAAGAACCGTCTACGATACCATTTAGATTATATAGAACCACTAAATGTTGTCTAGATTCCTCATACACCAATATACCTCTTCAACTTCGTTAGCTAATGCCGTCCAATTGTCAGCTTCATGCAAGCTCTGCTTTGCTGCTTGCAAGTCCGTTTTTATCCTATCGATTCGTTCCAAAGCTGCCATTGAAGACCCTGTCTCCTTTTCCACCTAGTATCATTATCAATCATTAAACACCAGTCAACGATACAATCTTTATATAACAAACATACCTCTGCAATTTCTTGCTTAACCGCTATCATTTTGTCTCTGAGAATTAATGCCTCCTGTTGCAAAAGGCGAGTATCTCGAAGTACCCTTGGCAAGCTTGATAAGACCGATTGGCTAGTTTCCTCGAGAGCTCCATTCAATTGTTGAACATACAATTGTAACTTCATCACCAAGGATGATATGAAAGCCTATACATATCGATATGTTTAAAAATCAAAAGTTGCTTTTCTAAGAATCCAGTACAGATATATTTGATACACGAATTCTAACTAAACCAATCTGATTTCATATAAACTAATTAAGTATTGAAACTCTATTTAATTCTGTCTGGAAAGTTTCTTCTGCTATCGGTATTCAAAACTATACATTTTCCAAGAACTACTAAACAAGTTCTTGACAATCAATGACAGCAACCATATCTTAAAGCCAATTTAAATTGCTGCACTGCCAACCACTTCGCGAGGGTCTCCTTTTCCCCTTCCATACCTTTCACCACGATCGCAACAAAAATACCACGAATTGCATCCTTAAGTCAAACCAAAACAAGTTTCTGAAAAAAGAGCATGGTATCGTTGACCATCACCGAGAGGCAGAATGCCATCGAATTGGATTCCAGCCTCGTGGCCCCATTTCCAAAGTCTTCCAAAGTTCCATAAGAGGTACGTAGAGATTTTTGAAGCGATCCGAATCTCAAGGAGACTCACATCCTTATTTTCCTTGGCCTCCGCGGATTCGAAGGACCCATTGATCCACTTCTTGGCGTCGAAGCCCTCCTCGGAGAACGCCGAGACATCCTGCAACGCGTTTGAGGTTAGGTACGCGGCTGAGCGCTCGGGGCTGAATTTTTCCCCGAAGAACACCGCTTTCTTATTATTTCGCGGCCGATGCGAAGGGGGAGAGAGAAGAGTCATAAGTCCCGAGCTCCCTGGGGTAGCTCACGCTCGCCAGTAAGGCGGCCACCTTACTCGCGATAAGAGGTTAGGAGCCCGCTGCTTACCATAGCGAAATTTCGGAACGGCCTGTTCGTTTTTTTAATCGCTTTTCGAGTCTGCCCCCTGCGCTCGGAACACCTATCGGAGGCGTTGACGTCCCTCTTCGCACACAAGGTCAGATTTTTCTTCTAAAGTAGCTCGAACGACTTAATTAACGACCTGTTAGAACACGTCGAGCGGACGCGCTTCTCCGCGTCCGGCCGTGCGACCCGTAGGATCACGGAGGACGTACTTATCGCCGCGACGGTGATCGATGAAACTTTGAGGTTAGAACGCCGATCGTTAGCGCGTCCCGCGCCTCGCCCTCGCCGACAACCCTTCTAAATTGCAATTTCACGGCTGCGTCTCGACGCCGGTCAAGCCTCGTCGCCGTTGCTGAGACGAGAACCGTGCATTTGCACTTTTTGAGGTTAGGCCGGCCGTGGTCGCGCCCCCGACATCCTCGCAATATCAATTCCTAAGAACTCCAGTCAACGCTAGTTTCGATCACGAATTGTCGCCGATTGGATGTGCGCGATCGCTCGGGACATCGACGAAGCGTATTTCTAGGTTAGATCTCGCAAATGCGTATTCCAAGGCTCTCTAAAAAGGTGCCAAAGCATTTCTACCTTAAACCGATGAATTCCGGCCGCGGAATTCTTCGCTTTTAACTTCGTATTTTCGGAGGATTCGAGATCACCCTGGCGATGATCAATGAACTTTGCAGTTTTAGGTTAGGTCATTGATAGATCACAGCGGTAGGGAGTTATTATATGTGTAGATCTTTGATGTAGAAAAGTAAAATCATGTTCTTCAGATCAGGATTGACTGGAGGGGGATCTGTAAACACTTTAGCTTAGAATCATTATTCTGCTGGTTATTTCTTTCTAAGCGTCGTTATCTGTACTTCGGGGCGTTTTCTTGATACTCTCGGTCATTAACACCAGAAGCGTGAAAACTGGTATTCGGTTGACGTTTAGAAGTGGTCCATGCGGTCGCGTGGGGAAGCGTGGCCGCGTCTTTAGGTTAGGTCACGTTAAGAAAAACTTGTTGGGCTTCCTCGAAATTCTCGTGCCAGGTTAGGCCTCGCAAATAAACGAGGCGTGACACGGCAAAAAATGCGGAGACCCTTTATCTCACCGATTTGTCGAGGCTGCCCTATGTATTTACTATTTAATTGTAGAATTTAATCCTAGGCCACACTTGGCTCGGTTCCCCGGTATTTATTATTAGATCATTTATCACCGTTTAGTTATCATACACGTCGCCACAGTTGGTTAGGTAACAAAAGGCTATTTCAAATAATAGTTTGTCCAAATAATCATAGCGAAGGTACCACTTGGTCTATCGTTATCTACCTCACAGTCCCAAAAAATTCTACCGTATTCCGGATTATTCCTTACCATTGCCTCTTGATATCTGCAAATAGCACATTTTTCAAAAGCTATCTGGAAATGTAAATAGCACGTATTTAAAAGAGCTCTCTGCGAATATAAATACAGCACATCTTTAGATGATGAATCTAGAATAGGAAATAGTAGATCGGAGACTCCTAAAAATCGACAAATTGCACGTTTTTAATGTATCAATTAATATATCATTTTCGATGATGAATCGTAAACAGATATTACATCCCGGATTACTGTTTCCCGAAACTCGGGCTTCTTTGAAAAGCTATTTTTAGGTAGCGGGTCATTAACAGTACTTTATTATTATCTTAGATTACAAATTCCTGGAAATCGGGTGATATAAACAGTTTCAAATGATATATCGAAACGTGGGTATGGGGATTATGGAGCTTCTATGAGATGAGTTGAATTGAGATGCTTCTAGAATGTCGCATCGCGTCGCGAAATTGGCTTCTTTGCGATCAAAATCGATCGACTTGTTTGCTCGCGAGGACAGGAGGTCTCTCTCTCTCTCTCTCTCCCCCTCTCGACGCGTCCCATTAGCCGCCCAGAGGCAGACAGAGATGGCGACAGAGGTTATCCGCCGCTTCCGGTCTGGAGCTTCCGGCCGGCGCCACGCCTCCCCGGGGCGCGTTTGCGCATCGCGCTTCGCGCAACAGTTGGAACTCGGAACTCGGAACTCCTCTTGATATCGTCCGCCCCCCCCGTGACGTCACGACGCGCAGCCGCAGTAGGGAACGCCGAGTTTTCTTCGACTGTGTTTGCCAGTTTCGGATTTTGCAATTAGGTACGAACGGATCTAGGTTAGGAATCCAATTTGAAATATTCAGGTGATATGAAAGGGTAATTCTATATATACATATATGTATAAATTTTCTCCAAATTGGGCGCAACGAATTACTTTAAACTTCGGTACGTGATTATGGAGGACTGAGGAAGAACGCGGTGCTCGTGAAATTTCATAAGGATTGTTGATAAAATGCTGAAAAATCGAGGGAATTAATATATTCGGTTATACATTCCGTGGGATTGGCAGTCGAGCGGGGATTTCGATTTTCCTCATCGCGTAGATTAGAGCGCCGTAAATGCATATCATCATTCCGCAATCGGCTGGAGCAATTTTGTTACCTGGGAATCGCGAAGTAGGTGAGAAAGTCATAAGCCGAGTTTCTTGATATAATTTGTTTCGCGGCGAGGAATCCTTGTATGAAAATGATGACGCTCAGAAGTAGACCGGAAAATTCCGTTCGGCTCGAGGTTGGCCAGAAAGTCCAATGCCCGGTTCCATAAACCTCGGTCAAAGAGGTAATCCTCGGTTACGAGTTGCACGTTCCATCACGTTTTAACGGCAGGTTAGTTTACATTGACCGTTTAGGTTAACCAGATAAATTCGATCGTTTAGCCTCAGTTAATCGAACTCTAACCTAAAAACTGCACTAACGTGGATTGCATCCAGTATTTATTAACATCTTATGACGAAACTGATGAAGACGTTATCGACTTTATTTACAATCTCTTAATGATCGAGGTACGCTTGAAAATACTTTTATATTCATTCTTAACCAAAGGACTTTATTTCATTTACGTTTTTAACCCTTGATTGACTTGGACGTTAACTTTAATCGGCAGTTAGGTAATCGTTGATTTAATCGAGGTTGGGGGAACTGGGCATAAATGCGATACCAAGAATGAGACAGAATATATTAAATCCAACGTGAGAGTACTATAATATAGAAAAGTGATGGTACAAGTTGTAAATCGTAGCGGCGAATTACGGGATTTCACCGAAATGTTTTTGAGGTTATGTCGGTTGATTTCGGAACTGTCGCTAGGGTGATCGAGCTTTCGTAGTATGTATTCGTTTAAGAGTTAAGGCACAGTTTTTATTTGTAACGTTTTCCCAGCATAGGTTACTTAGAAGAGGATCGAAGAAATGCCGGTAAAGCTACGAGCGCAGCTGCTACTCGGAATTCGGAAATCATATGCAGCGTGACGTCACGGCGCGCGGCCGAAATAAGGAGCGCTTTCATTCCTTTCGATGAGGTCAAAGATGACTCGAATTTCGAGTGAGTTCCCTTCCTGGGCTCGAGGCGAAGGAAAACTATGCGGTAATACAACTTCTCTCATAGAATAGTGTAGAACGTGTAGCCAACCATTTAGATAATACGCATTTTGACGGAAATATTGTCGACTGACGTTGCCCTCGTGGGGATGGAAAAATTCATCACGGGCAAGAGAAAATTACGAGGAAAACTCTGTTTAATTTTTTTAATAATCTTTTATTAATGCTGGCTCAGACATTTGCGGCTAACATTACCCTCGTGGAGTTGCAAAAACTTATCCTAGGCAAGAGAAAATGAAGAAAAAAAAATCGGTAAAAGGTCGGCGTTTTCTTGGCATGGCGTTAACATATTTTTCTTTTACTAGACCTATATATTAATATATCTTGATGCTTATTTCGGTAGTACCAGATAAAAGAGGTTTTCTCAGTCACGAAGGTCGGCGTTTTCTCGGCAGGGCGTTAACATGTTTTTCTTTTACTAGACCGATATATTAATATATCTTGATGCTTATTTTGATAATACCAGATAGGAGAGGTTTTCTCAGTCACGAAGGTTGGCGCTTTCTCGGCAGGGCGTTAACATGTTTTTTTTTTTTACTAGACCGTTATATTAATATATCTTGATGCTTATTTCGGTAGTACCAGATAAAAGAGGTTTTCCCAGTCACGAAAGTCGGCGTTTTCTCGGCAGGGCGTTAACATATTTTTCTTTTACTAGCCCGATATATTAATATATCTTGATGCTTATTTTGGTAATACCAGATAGGAGAGGTTTCCCCAGTCACGAAAGTCGGCGTTTTCTGGACAGGGCGTTAACATGTTTTTCTTTTACTAGCCCGATATATTAATATATCTTGATGCTTATTTCGGTAGTACCAGATAAAAGAGGTTTTCCCAGTCACGAAAGTCGGCATCTTCTCGGCAGGGCGTTAACATGTTTTTCTTTTACTAACCCGATATATTAATATATCTTGGTGCTTATTTCGATAGTACCAGTTAGGGGAGGTTTTCCCAGTCACGAAAGTCGGCGTTTTCTCGGCAGGGCGTTAACATATTTTTCTTTTACTAACCCGATATATTAATATATCTTGATGCTTATTTTGGTAATACCAGATAGGAGAGGTTTTCCCACTTACGAAGGTTGGCGTTTTCTCGGCACGGCGCGATTGGCCGATTCGGGCCCGGAGCCCGGACGCCCGGGCGGGAAAAACCGGGTAAATTCGCCCGGGCGCTCGGGAGCCTTCGCGACGCTTTCGAAGGTTCTATATCCGACTAGCAGCCCGGCTAATTAGCGGTTAATTCGAGGTTAGTCGCGGCGGCTGCCGGGTGCTTCCGCCATCCGGAAAGAGAGTCAATCCGACGAGGGGACGACTACCGATATATCGGGCAAATGTAGTTTTTCCGACGTCGTCGATCCGCGAATTCGTCACCAATCGAGGCAATTGTTCCGCGGAGTTCGGTGCTAAGTGCGCGTACGTCGCTCTGCTGAAAGAAAATAAGAAAACTAGATATACAACGAAGGATTTTACCATGTAAAATCTTGACGTTCTGTTAACGCATTACGTATTCGCGGTCAAAGTTGGATATGTGTACGTCGTATTGCTAAAGTGACAATAGAGGAATAACGGACATTGATTTTTCCGCGATGAAATTTTATTACTTGGTTAACGTGTCACATACATCTGATCAAAGTTGGATATGTGTACGTCGTATTGCTGAAATGACAATAGAGGAATAACGGACGATGATTTTCCGCGAGAAAAATTCTATTCAGTTAACGTTACACGTGTACGTGGTCGAAGTTAGAAATGTGTACGGCGCGCTGATAAAAAAAGCAAGGTAGAAAATGAACGATTTTCCCCGAGAAAAATTTTATTCAGTTAACGTTACACGTGTACGTAGTGGAAGTTAGAAATGTGTACGTCACGCTGCTTAAATAAACATTGAGAAATAACGGACAATGACGTTCCGCGATTAAGATTTGTTATTCGGAAAACGAGTGGCGTGTATATGGTCAAATGGTGTAAAGTGATCCGCCGTTAATTCGGATCTACTCGGTGTAATTTTAAAATCTGCACCGGGTAAATTTAGCACCTCGCGGTGTTCCTATTTGACGGTAACGATATATGTGCCCATAATTATGAAAGTGGTCTAAGTCATGTATTTTTTGTTTCGAAATTACATTGAATTAATTTCGTTTGAAATAATATGGCGTGAAATAACCGATAAACTCATTTTTTTTTTTAATTTTGACTTAGACCACTTTCATAATTATGGGCACATATAAGGGACCGAAGTTCGTTCAGGTTGTTCATGTTTTTCCAATGTTGAGGGAATGTTTATGGGAGGGGAGGATGTAATTTTGCGTGATTTCACCGCGAACTGACAGACAATGGGGTTGGGCTCGATAATCTATGATTAATGATATCGGTACTCGATAAATGTTGATTTCTTTTTAATAAATTCAAGCTTATCGTGATTGATATATCCTTTGACACTGCTCCGCAATTAATAATGCCGGTGGTTAATTTAACGGTGCAAAATTATTTTGAATCCCTTGTGGTATTGAGCCATTGTTGAGGGGGCCCGTAATTATTGACGATGT